GTGTGTGTGTGTGTGTGTGTGTGTGTGTGTGTGTGTGTGTGTGTGTGAGAGAGAGAGAGTGGGTAGACAGACGGGCTGACTGTAGCCTGCAGCCTTAGGTGAACCTGTGAACCCATGTGATGAATGTGTGTAACTATCAGCGCAGATATCCATGGGAAACTGTGTGGAGATCAGAGCGCGGTAAGCTCACGAGGCAGCGTGGCCGCGCGCAGGAGAGGTGTCGTCTCAGCGGAAAAAAAACAGCTGTCTATATTTAATCAAGGCGAATAAACAAGGAGTTTAAACAACTCATTTATAATTTAGATTTGCATACATTAAAACCGCTCATTTTAATCTTTTTATTAATATGCATCGACGATATTGTATAAATATGCAGTTTTATGCAAATACGGGGCCCATTTTCTGTTTGTATTTAATTCTGTGTCCCAGCTGTGGATCATCATTTTCATTCAAGGCAACCGACTCAGATTAAGTCAAGTATTAAGTCACAGCATGGGAGTGTATAAATATTTCTCAATTAAAAACTCTGAAGACCAGCTCTGCTACTGTACCAGCATTAAAAATGCATTGGCAACGGGAGGAAAATAGGGGGAGGCAAGTCTGATAAGACATCAGAACTTCAAGTCTACATCTTTGAACTCTGTTTTTTTTCTCCCTTCTTCTTCTTCTTCCCCTCCTCGAATCAAGTAGTTGCAGCAGCTTTTTGCTGTTTTTGGAGACTGTTACAAAATCTGGGGGATGTAAGGACCAGTCAAAAACATGCAGTGCATCTGTTATTGATGAGCATGCCGTGCCGTCTGATGTTTTTTCACAGAATGTCCTACATTTTGCTGTTTTCTTTCTTGCTGCTACTTCTCCGCCGATGCAAATGAGGAGCTTTTTGTTCCAAAATGTGGAAAAACTAACAACCCGAACAGTGAGACAACAGCCGCTACAAAAGGACAGCTGGGATGGGAGTAAAACTCACAATTACCAAAGTTATTAACTAACTTGATGATCACACCCTCCCCCCCCGCCAAAAAAAAACAATATAACATTTGATACCAACCATGGTTTCATTTTTCTCAAAAGAGCTGACGGTAGTTAAGAATCAATGATAAAAGGTCAACCTTTTAATCCAGAGCTCATGACCAGACTCACGTTTTAATGTGAACCAATCACATGAAGGAGAGGGCGGGGTCTCGTGCACAACAGGCAGCTGATAGGCCACCGTCTCCATCACCACAGCCCTCCCTTTAGCAAAACAAAGCACACACAAAGTGAAAGTCAAGTTTTTGTGTGTTCATTTACATCCGTTTCAGAAGGTGCCCAAAATGTTGCATGCTGCGCATTGCAGACATTTTTGCAGTTATTATCGCCCCACATGTTTTATAACAGCTCACGACACTATCTTCCATGTTCTTTATATCAATGCTTATATTAATTAATATATTTCATGCATATGTGCTGATAATATTCCACAATCAAAGTATGATTGGAAAATAGAAGCAATCAAATGCAGGAGTTTGTTTTTTAAAAAGTTTATATGTATGGAAACATGGATTTTAAGCAGTGTTTAGTTTGCAGTACCAGTGTAGCTGATAAAAGGAATCAAAATTTTAGGATTTCACAATTAATATTCATGCATCTTTAAATAACATTGGAATATATTTAATTCAAATGCCGGAGAATGTGCATCCATGTGACCAGAACTAAAGTTCAGATGGAACATGGTCAATAATGAACTGGCTCCACATTAGAGGAGAAAATCTGCTTCACCACATTTGAATGTAATTCAGTTTTAGCTCCTCAAAGTGGATTATTGCCATTTGGAGGTAATTTGATTTTAAACCAGTTGATGCCAAAAAGAAAAAATTCAGATTCTGTGCAAACTTTGCATCAAGATTATGGCAGATCTCCAAAGTAATGAGGTAGTGGTTATCATTACAATATTGTAAACAAGAAATAAAATCTAAGCAAAACTGAAAAATAATACCTTTAACTGCAGCAACTTTTAGAAATAACCAGGGGAGGAAGTATAGTAATGTAGAAATATCACACTGTAAAAAATACTCGAAAATAAATACTTAAAAGTCCTTTAGGGGAAATGTTACTTAAGTAAAAGTATATATATATATAAGCAAAATGTAATTTAAGTATCAAAAGTATTTAATGCAGAGAAATGTCCTTTGTAAGTATTACTTTTAGATTATTATTAATGCATTAATGTCTGTAACATTTTACTGTTGTGTTTAAAACAAATGTTTAACTAATGTATATGTTAGGTAGTTTGATTTATTAATCTGTTTTTTATGCAAAATGTAGCCTACAGTTACAAACTTAATTTGTAAAGTAACCATAGATAAATGTAGTGGATGAGTACTTTAAAGAGGCAGGACATGGAAATACTCAAGTAAAGTACAAGAACCTCAAATGTGTACTTGAGTAAATAGGGTAAAGCCGGGCCAATAGTAACTCAATCAATTCCTCCAATCAGAAACAAGCGAGAGTGATGACACTCTGCACATGCTCAGTAGGATTCACTCGCTCACCATGGAAAAGGGCGCTGGATCATTTTACATTGGGAGAAGTTTTCTACAAAATCTTATTTTGAGTTATGAACGTTAGATAATTAACATATTTCACTAAATTTGAAAAGCAAAATTTCAATTAAAAAAGGGTGTAAATAAACATGTTTGTCCTAGCATAGCAGCTCCTCAATAAACATACTGTTGTATAAAATAATGTGTGTAATAATAATGTACATTTCTGGCCCTCTGTGTCTCTTAGAATGTTTTATGGTATTTGTGTATGTATTTATTTTCTTTTTCTATTTTATGATTATAATTATTATTGTTATTATTATCATCAGTATAATGAATGTTATTGTTATTATCATTATTCATGTTTCTATCATTATTATTACCAATATTATATTTTATATTATTTTAATTGTATTGTAATTTGTCTAAGCCTCCTGTCCATATGGTTCTTGTGTATGTTACAATTCTAATGCTACTGTGATGTCCATATCAACTTAACTTAACTTAACTTAACTAAACTTAACTTAACTTAACTTAACTTAACTGTCCATCACTGGAAATAAGGAAGAAAAACAATATATTCTATTTCCTGAAACCAGAACACATAATTGTAATGAGTAGTCCCGACCACAACATTGAACCAAAACATCAGTATTAACATTTTACCTGCAGCTTCTCCATCTACACATTCGGAGAACACGTGTTTGTTGCCTTTAGTGAAGTTTTTTTGGTGGCAAAAACGCAGCAACCACGGTTGAGCGCGCACGGCGTGAACACGCCCCTGGAAGTCATGAATAACGCCCGTTGAGCCGAGCTCATGGAAGGTGATGTCTCTTTAAGAAGGGCTCGGCTCTCCTCCGAAACAATCGCACGAACCCCCAACAAGTCATCGGACCTGTCAATCATCCGGTCGGTGCCCTTTGATCGTCGGGACTCCTCTCCTTGCGTTGGGCTCAAATGAGCTGTTTGCTGTTGTAGGGAAACATTAGCGCTCCACCAAGCAGCCAGCCGGGGGGACGACACATCTCAACTTTTTCTTTTCTTTTCTCCCCTGTATGTGGCGGAGGGGTTTTGGACACTTCGGAGGCGCAACACACTGAGGACATTTAACAGAAGAAAAGTCGCGTCATTCTTTTCTTTATTTATATTTCATTTTTTGGGGTATTATTTCTTCAAAGTGTGTATATACATATATACATCGCAAAAGGGACGTGGGAGAAGCAGACATGCCTCAGCTCAGCAGCGGCGGCGGGGACGACATGGGAGCGAACGATGAGATGATTGCGTTCAAAGACGAAGGCGAGCAAGAGGAGAAAATACAAGAAAACGCGTTCACGGAGCGAGACCTGGCCGACCTCAAGTCCTCTCTGGTGAACGAGTCGGAAATAAATCAGAGTCCGCACGCAGCGGTAGGTTGGCACGGAGTGTGTGTGTGTGTGTGTGTGTGTGTGTGTGTGAGAGAGAGTGGGTAAAACACGGAAAGAGTGTGTGAGAAAAGCTTGTTTTTTATAGTACACTCTGGTGACATGAATGAACCCCCAGAAGAAAACGCGCTATTCGTGGTGGTTACATTGTAAACACACGTTAAAGTATGATACTGTTGCTTTAAAGTCGCTCTATTTGACACTGTAACACTCGCGTGGTCATTTCTGCTCGCCTTTTTTCTTCTTCTACTTAATTTCTTTTATTCTGGGGAGTATGTCTGACCCCCGTGTTTGTTGTCGGTCCCTTCCAGGCGGTCAGACGGGGACAGCAGGGCGAGCAGAGGGGCTTCCCAGAAAAACACCGGGAGCATCTCAACGGAGGTAAGAGAAGAAACCAAAAAACACATTTACACACTCTGGAGCCACTGCTATCTGAGAAAGCAGCTGAGGAGTGATAAATAAAAAAGACCCCCCACTGTGTCAAAGTAAGGGCGAGGACACGTGTTGCAGCATTAAAAGCAACTTCAAAGAGTTGTCTTCAGGTGCACACTGCAAAAGATGTCCGCAGCTCTCTGGTTTATCCCTCACATCTATCACTTTGGTTTTTGGGAGTTACATTTCCTGTGTTTCTGTACTAGCTCGACAATCACACAGAGAGTATTTATTTCACCAGTGGAACACGGACTCTGGAAGTCTGTCGGCCTTAAATTCAGTCATGAGAGTTAAACTCATTTCTAGAAATTCGTATTCGGCTAACACTCGTATACCTTTTGTCGACTAATCGATTTAGTTGACAGATCTGTGGAACTGAGTTTACTCCACAAAGAATCACTCAAAAAGGTTTAAACTTTAAATCTTGAAACTGTGATAAGCTGATAATTAATTCAGCATGAAAACAACTTGTCGACTAAAACCAAAGCAACCGATTAGTCGACTAATATTTGTACTCTTTGCTGGTATCAAACACTTTTAAATCACCCTCTTCATCCTAGTATGATCTGTCCTGTGCTCACGTGTCTAAATACACTTTAGATTTGCAGCCCTGGTTATTTAAATTTTTTCTCAGTGTAGCTTTTGCCAGACTTTGACAAAAGTGGGGTCAACCAGGGCCCTTGAGAGGTTTATTATTATTTTCTTTCTGGAGGTTTACCACCCAAAAGGAACAGAGCAAACCCACGTTGCCTCCCTACAATAAGGCCCATGTAGAGAGTGTACGCTTGGCGGTTTTAATTACAGCCGTCGATGGAGGCTGCGCTCTCAACTTGTGTAACTGACTCCAGTCGTTTTTAAACACTGCGTTCCTTTCTGCAAAATCTTCCATCAAATGTGGATTTTTTTTGTGGTTTCAGATGCATCTATTTTAGGATAAAAACCCCACAGAGAAGAATTTAGACATCCCTGAATGATTCTGATTGAATGCTTGGATTACGTTACGTACACGTTAAAAACAGTTATGGCACCCTTCGATGACGAGGGATCGAGGTTGGAGCAAAAGTTGAGTGTGTCATACCGACCAGGTGTAACCCAGTTCCAGCTGACCCACTGAGGGGCCTCTGACGCTCAGTGAGGGGTGGTGGTGGTGGGACATGAATTAACACATAGGCTCCGGGAGTTCACGCCTCTCAGGCGAGGTGATGCTTGTCACGCTTTTGTCTTCGAGTATTGTGATCCGTGCTCACACAAGGATACAACATGAAATAACTAGTAACAACACTTGTAAATAGTCGGCCTACTCTGTATGCACCTTTTTTATTTTTGGATGTTTTCTTTTTGTTCTGCGGCGCACACATCTTATCGTAGTGTAGTGGGAGTAAGTATCAGTGTTTTTTGTTATTTTACTTTTTTGTTATTTTACTCCTTTTTTTTTTTCTTATAGATGAATTATTTTATACATAGATTTAAAATGACACCACGCTGATACCCGTCCTCTCGGACAACAAATCACAAGATTTTGCTCAGAAAATGAAGAAGACGACCTCTTACAAACTGTCACTATTAAATCCTTATTGAAGTTTCTCAGTTTGTGACTCTCGTTTGTTCTTCCTGGCAGTGTCGAAGCAGCACGATGGAGGCATGTACAAGACGCCAGCGTACCCGGGGTATCCGTTCCTGATGCTGCCGGACCCCTACCTCCCCAACAGCTCGGTGTCTCCATCTGTAAGTCCATCTTTCTCTGTCTAACCCTCCCGCTGGCTGCTCTGTTGTTGGTTTCTTGTGTCGGTAGCTGAGGGCGCTCTGAGGTCCTTGTGTTTACGTCCCACTCTGGACTCCCGTACGAGTTTGTGCACTTCAGCTGCTATTCGTGTCCTCTGGTATCAAGTCCAACACTGAACAGGGAACAGAAACATACACTCAGGGGTGGAAACGTTCCAAGTCTGGTGGCCGCGGGCTAGTGTGTTTTATGTTTTGGCTCCTCAGTAGCCAGAACTCAACAGTATCAAACAGAGACGGCATGGACACGGTGAACCATAGAGTGCTGGGGTTTTTTTAATGTTATTTTTGGATAAAGTCATAAATGTTTCTTCTGGGATTTTCCACATAATTTGCATTTAATTTGTTGTGCATCTGGTTTTGCAGATTTGTAAACTTTCACTTTATCAGCCTTTACAATCAGTGGACTTCTTCTCTTTTAGATGCGATCTGCGTACTATTGCCTTGAAAGTAATATTTTTAACATTTTACTTACAAATATAGATTTTTTTACATCTCAATATACAGATTTTGTTGAATGGCTCCTTCATGGATAAATCAAGTTTGAATTAAAAGTAGATTCATGTCACTTACATGTCAGCAGACGGGTACTGCATTTCCTCTTTCATATTCTTTAATATTGATAATAGTTTTGCTTTCTTTTGCAGTTTTGCTTCTTAATAGTTATGTGATTGAGATCCATAATGATGACATGACTTCTGTCAATTAAAGCCCAAGAAACACTCGTTCAAATCACAAAGCAGAAACAGTAGATTTATTTCAGATCTCCAGCGTGTACTTTAAAACAGTAAAGGTTGATTCTCGCACTGTGAAAAAAGTCGCACTGTGAATCAGTCACAAACTCAACATGTGCTCTGATCTGGCTTTGAAGTGTGCCGTTTCCCGCCTAATAAAACCTAAAGCTGCTCCTGAAACAGAAAGAGAAGCTTGTTGGACGTCGGGAGTCTGATCGATGTCGTCATCAAGAAACGCACCGTCTGTTTGTGCTGTGGGTCATCCTGCCAGACGGCCCCGAACAATGAATCCTAAAATCCCTTCAAGTCGGCCATAAGAGCCAACATCCACGGATAGGCTGACTAATTCACCAAACATGAGCGCTTGTGCCTGATTCATTTTTCACGTGTAATCCTGTTTCCTGAATGAAGCCCTGCTCTGACAGACGAGAGGCGCATGTTTCTGACATCACAGCGTCCCGTTGGCTGATGTGACGTGAGGCTCAGTGGATGAGGAATCTGCTGTACCACAAAGATGTGATTCACCCCGCTGTGTTCTTCAACGTGTGGGTCCAGACCCAGCAGTTGGTCCCGGGAGGTTTTAAATGGGTCGTTGAAGGGTAAAGAATAAATAAGACTATTGTTACAGACTAACTCCAAGTAAAAAGTATTCCTCTAAAAAACACTTTTTCTTTAAGTTTTCAAGCTGTAATAAACTTTCACTTCAATGTTATGTCCTCTGTGAGCGTTGCTACGTTATAAAGTTCGGTCAAATGTTATAAAACGAATGTAAGGAACCCTGTTTATGCACCTGCTTCGACTTTAAGTTACTTTTATACTTGCATTATGTATATTAGCCCCACGTCTTGTTTGATTTAAAGCCTCCAGATTTCCTTCCTGAAAAACGCTTAGGTAGACACAATTTGGCAGTCTTTTTACAGTCTTTTGGGCTTTTTCATGGAAAGAACAGACAACAGTAGCTTCACTTGTTTGGGTCTCAATATTACATGTAAGCGGTCGCATTTGTTTGTGAGAGAGGCGCATGTTTACACAACGAGGAAATCACATTCTCCTGAAGTCTGTTATTCATAGGGCTGGTAATATATGGATATTATATCCATATGAGACTAGATATTGTGTTAGATTCTGTATTATCATAATATGGTGTTTTAAAGGCTGCATTACTGTTCTATTATATTCTTTTACCCGCTTAGTCATTATATCCACATCACTGATGATTATTTATAAGAAATCTCATTAGTGGTCCACCCCACAATATCAACACAATAACCATATGGAGGTATTCAGTCAAAAACCTGGTGATATTTGATTTTCTTCCCCACCTGTGATTGAGACTATAACCTGAATAAAGTACTACTACTACTACTACTACTACTACGAGAGAGAGAGAGCGTGCTCTTTATTTCCTTAAAGCATCTTAACCCTCGCTGTTACATAACACGGCACATCTGGCGTGGCTTCTTCTTCGCCCTCATCATCATCATCTTCCCTTCTCTTCCTCTCCAGCCCCAGAGTCCGAACCACATGGCCTCTCAGAGATTGTTTTTGTTGAGGGTGGGGATGGCGTGGGGGGGGGGGGGGGGGGGGGGGGGGGTGGAAAAAAATTTTTTTCCCCTGCTTTTTTTTGGG